GCAGCGCTGCCTGGGGAACAGCCTGGCTGGGGGCTCCAGCACAGCCAACCCACCCGCACCCATGTCCTCCCAGCACCCTCCCCCAGCCGAGACACCACGTTTGCTTCTCCACGCTGCGTGGGTTTTGTGCATTTGGAGTCGGTCCCTGCTGCCCGTCTCACCTTTGTGTGCCATAGTGCCCAACCAGAGAGCTGTCCCAGTAGTTGATCCTGGAAGGAGCACCCACTGTACTGGGCAGTTGGGTGCCCATGGAGTTGGGGTCGCGCCTCCCTATCCTGGGTGTTTGCATATCTCTAAAGAGGGGTCTTTTACTAAAATGGATTGTCTTGGGCTGGATTATACCCTCTTTATCCCAGCTTAATGTATAGGAAATCCCAGAAACAGCCCTGGAGGAGTTTGCTATAAGCGCTTATCCGTGCTTAAAGGTTGCATTCATCTCGCTACTTCTGCATCCATTTTTAGTTCAGTGCAGCTTTTATGGACAGTGGAGACTTTGTGGGGAGGGAGACTGTGTGGTTCTTTGTTTTCCCATTAACTCGTCTCGTTGGGAATTGCAGCCCTTCAATTAAACCGGCGCAGTACGGACTGGCCCTGAGGTGCTATTCTAAGACTGTTGCATTCACATCTGCTTTTGGGTAAAACTTGGCCGGTTTGAGGTTAGCCTGCGCCATTGTGTGTCTGAAGCAGGAAGAAGCAGAGCATCAATCACCGGGGCTCGGTCCCAGCGAGCATGGAAGGGTTACGCGGTGTGTTTTACCTCCCTCCCTCTCCTCGCAGGACGCGCAGCAGCCAGCGTCCCCGTCTGCCATCGCAGAGACGGCGGGATGAGCAGCTCGCCCTTCCTGGGGGATGCGGGGAGAGGATTTTATTAACTGGCGTATGGAGAGCGAAGGCAGGTGCTGGACTCTGCTCAGAGCCACCACCGAGAGCTGGAGGGGGTGATGACAGCCGGCTCTGTGGCCTGTTGTTTTTTGAGTTGAGCTTCCCCCTCCTCCCTCTTGCATTTTGCTCAGTCCGTAAACAGCTCCCTGTAAACTCCTACAGAAGAAGCGGGCAGGCAGGAGCCGTGGGCAGCCGGGCCGTGATGTGTGCGTATCATCTGATGTTTTTGTCCGTGTGGCTTTTGTTTGGGTTGAAACCAGGCAAGCTGGTGCATCTGCATTGCTGGCAGCGGGTACAACAGCCTGACTAGCCCAAAGGACGTGGAGACTGGCAGGGAGAAGTTGATTACTTGGTTGGGGTTTTTCTCCTCCCTCTGATATGTTGCCTGGACCTTGGAGAGTTATTTTTAGTAGATAGCGGAGTGAAAAAAGTTTAGGCTGTGTTTTAAAACTGTAGCATCCATTGCAAGTACCAGCAGAAGTGCTGAGGAAGGCAGTAGGTTTGCTTAAAACACTCTACCTTCGTTAGGTGCCGGGCCAATTAACACAGAGGTTAGAGGATTGTGATGCCCGTGCGAAAAGCAAACTGGCCGCCCTTAGCACAGAAAGCTGCGTATCCGCAGCACTGACCCTGGGAACAAAGGATCCTCCTGAACCCAAACATGTTTGTGTTAATCCCGGCTGCTTCCTGGCAGGCAGCGAGAGGAAACGGAGCCACTACCTCCAACAGATGTACAGTGAGGAGATTACAGGGTGCGATTAAACACCCCCTCCATCACATCCTCCTCTCCGCCGCCACGGCCCGGCACGTTAATGGACTGTCCCAGGCCGCCTGCCAAGCTCGGGCAGAGGCGACAGGCAGCGGATACTTCATCTCCTGCATCCGTGCCTGGTCTGGAGCCGTTGGCTAATGCCAAGGCTTCTGCGAACACCCGCCCCCCGCCCCGAAAGCGTGAGCTGCCTTCCCTCTGCCTGCCTGCGAGGAGCGGGCTGGGGGGATGCAGGAAAAACACAGGGAATCCGCACCAACCAGGAATGATGAATTGAGCTGTTAAAACATGCTCTCCCGCATCGGGTACCCCTGTGTGAGCAGGCTGGGGTTTGCTAAGGGACAACGTGCTGGAGAAGTTGGGCAGGGTCTTGATTTTGGTGGATTGACTTGATTTTTGACTGCTGAGCTTGGAGTAGGAGATTTCAGGGCTGGGAAGGACTCATTCCCTCTCTCTGTGGGTTTAGGCGCTGCCTGGTGTTGCGGTAGCCGGTCTCGGTGCCAAGTGCTGCTCTGACAATAGAAATCAGCTAGGCTGGCTGCAAAAAATCAGCCATCCTACCGTCTGCTTAGGTTAATTAATGTGGCAACGGCTGAGCATGTTTCTTTCTCGAACAAAAAGCTGTTTCTAAAATAAAAGAACCCCCCTGTGGAAATTGTAGAGATTGGAATTGTCATCAGGTGAGATGTGCAAAACCCTCAGCAGCCAAGCGAGTTGGATTCGAAGAAGAGTAAAATTTTCAAAAGTCACTTTTCTTTCCCGGGGGAGAGCTGTGATCTCAGTCACGGCACTGGAGCTGTTGCCTTTGTCTGAACCGTGGGCTTTCTCCCCCCTTTTGTGCAGAGGGGTCCGACACAGGTTCCTGTAACTGCCAACAATGTGCCATTGTCTCGGATAGGACAGAGGGACAAGTTCTGCTAAAGGCACGTTGTCCCTTTTCCCCGGCCTTCGTTTTGGAGAGGACGTGGCTTGGTCAGGAGCAGCACCAGGATTTGGGAAGCCTTGGGGCACATCTCCTTCCCGGGATGCACTGGAACAGACGGGCAGAACTGCCCACGGGTTTGCAGCTCCCCACGGGCAACGCATTTTTGGGAGGGGTCCCAGAGACGCGCAGATCTGCAACGGCACTCGCTGTGCAGCGAACAGGGAGAACCCATACCTCCTATCCCCTGCCATCCCCAGCGTGTTTGGGAATCTGTGTTGCCATGCCCCTTCCCTTTCTCCTCGCCTGCCCAGGAATCCCTTTTCCCAGGCGTAGGAGACAACTGTTTGGCAAACAGCAGCCACAGCTCGAGGGTTTGCAGATAGCTGCAGCGTGCAGAGCAAGGACGGTGGCAGCAACAAAAGGCAAAGGGAGTGACTTGGTACGAAGGTATAAGGGGCACCATCTGCTTCCGAAGGGCCTCGTTTCTAATTCGGCAGCGAAGGAGGCTCCTGGAGTTAAGTAATTGGGAATAGTAGGCTCCTGGCTGGAAAGTGTGCCAACCCTTCTGGCAAAAAGCTGTTCAATCTTTGTTGCTGGCGTGTGAAAGTGGTTCTGCGTGGCAGGGCTCCAGAGGCTGGTTTTAACCCTTGACGTATGTTAAAAAAAACCCTACAGCGCTTTTGATCTTGGAATGGCGTGTGGCCAGGTGTCGAGAATAAAAGGGGAAGGTGGGTCCTCATCGAGGTACGTGAACGGCTCCAAGTCTGACTCCCCTGTGCTGATAATGGCCAGACCTGGCCTGTCAGCAAATACATCCAAAACGGTGCCCGTTTTAACGGCTTTAGCAGGATAACACAGCGTATGATGAATGATTCATGAAGACCAATAGATCCGAGGCATTTTCTGCCCCTTAAACCTAGTGCCTGCCTGCCAGAGGACGCACGTGCAAGGTGGGTGACCACAAAATCCTCTGCTGAGCTTTTGGGGTGCAGTGACGCGCTTGGCTCCCCTCTTACTACAGCCCTTACCCTGCAGCCTGTGAACACGTCCGACTTACCAGCCGGGACGAGGAGCCTTTAATTCTCCAGATGAAAGCACAGGCTGCTACGCTTCTCCCAGCAAGTGCAAATAGAAACGAGTCAACATGTTGCACCCCCTCCCAGGGGTGGCTTCCTTGGAAGCTTTGGTCTTCATCCTGTTTGCCTGATTTGCGATCAAAAGAGCGGCGCTGC